TTATATGCTGTTGAGTCGGACCCGACTCATAGCGATCCCCCCTCGGGTTTCCAAGGCAGTATCACTATGGAAGTAGATTGCCTCATCTTCCTCCCGAGGAGTGGCTCGTGGGTTTGAACCGCCAGCCTTCTGGTTAGCAGTCAAGTGCCTTAGTCACTTGAGGAACTTGGATATTTGGCTGTGAAGATTTCTAAGCAAAATTTTAAAGGCGCCATGTGGTTTTTCCTTGCTACTTAAAGCAAAATGTGAGAGGAAAGAGATGGATTAGGAAGGAACTGTAAAACAAAACTTAAAGATTTGGAAAATTCTGTTGTACCATCTAAGGACACATCCTCTAGAACTCTCACCAATAACTTGGTGACTTAATTTTTTGTTAAAATTAATTAATTAACCCTGTGACTGATGGATCTAACCAACTACCACAGCAGAAAAAGAAAAGGAAAAAAAAAAAATCAGCTTAGACTGAAAGGGAAAAGGACAGGACAAAAGGGAAAGAAAGCTGTCTTTTAGAATTCTGCAGACAGGAGACATGCCAAAGGAGCTACATCTGTTGTCCTCCAAGTGGGGAAAAAAAAAGAAGAAGAAGAAGAAGCATCCTGGAGCAATTTGGAGATCAGTAGAACTGTTGCAAGGAGCACAGGAAGCAGGGCTGCCGCAGTTTCACAGTGTGGAACCATGGCCTGCTAGGTTTTAAAGGATGGAGTCATAGCCTCCTAGGTTTAAAAGAGTCAGATGTTCACCAGCTAGGGTCTCGAGTGTGAGGTTGTCCTTCATAAATGCCAGCGAGATGGGGCAGCTGCCCAAAACTGAGGAGGTAGGGCTGCCATACCCAAGGGGCAGGGCCTACCAAGGCCGAGGGGGTGGGGTCACCACTCAGATGGGCTAGGAGATCTCTGTTCCCAGAGCCAAGGGGGCAGAGTTGCCATCCTAGTGGCTGAGGGCCAAGGGACCTCCACCTAGAATCCAGAGAGGATGACCAACACCCAGAGTCTAGAGGGCAGGACCATGGCCCAGTTGGTCTCAGAGAACAGAGGACTATTTCAACTCTTGAGAGCTAATGTAAATTGGGCTTGGGACTTGCTTGGTGCCTGTTTTTCCCTTCTTTCCCTCCACTTTCCCCCGTTTGTAAGGTAAATGTCTACCTTGTACCTGTTCCACCATTATACTTTAGAAACAGGTAACTTGTATTCTAGATTTCACAGGTTCACAGATGAAGAGGAATTTTGCCCCAGTATAGAATATGCCTCAAGTCTCACCCATATTTGATTTAAATGATTCAGAAGATAAGATTATGGATTTAGAGTGGGTTCAAGACTTCTAGGATAATGTGACAGGGTGAATGTGTTTTGCGTGTGGAAGACATGAACTCTGGGGAGCCAAAAGGAAGAATGTTATGGATTGAATTATGTCCTCCAAAAAATACCTGTTATAAATCCTAACCTCTATGCCTGTGATTATAATCCCATTTGGGAATGGGTCATCTTTATGATGTTAATGAGACAAGATTAGTGTTGGATGTGTCTTGAGTTAATCAAAATATAAGCAGAGTTTAAGGTAGCAGAGATGGGGGAACAGAGATGCCAAACCACCTGAAGATGCCCAGCAGTGGAAGCTCAAAAGTGACAAGGACCTTCCTCTAGAGCTGACAGAGAAAGCCTTCCACTAGAACTGGCATCCTGAATTCAGACTTCCAGCCTCCCAAACTGTAAGAAAATGAATTTGTTTGTTAAAGCCACCCCCTTGTGGTATTTCTGTCATAGCAGCACTAGATAACTAAGACACATCTCTATGTAATAAAATCTCACTATAAGGAAGGACAGTAGAAAGATTTTTTAGGAGGTCTGGTAGCGCAATGATTAAGTGCTTGGCTGCTAACCAAAAGGTCAGTGGTTTGAACCTACTAGCTGCTCCATGGGAGAAAGATGAGATAGTCTACTTCTGTAAAGATTTATAGCCTTGGAAATGCTACGAGGTAGTTCTACTCTGTCCTGTGGAGTCTCTATGAGTTGGAATCAACTCGACAGCAATGGTTTTGGAATGGGTTACTACTTTCTAGATATACCATGCCTAATCTCTGCTGTAACTCTTTGAGATAGGCACTATTATTCATATCTGACAGCTGGAGATGGAATATGAACCAAGGCACACAGCTAGGAATGTTTAGGAGGCAACTCTGGACTTCTGAGGTGGATTTTATGAAGGGCAACAATTAGCCTCTACCACAAGCATCAAAGGCACCACTAACAGAAACCCATGAGACCTTGACCTCTCTGACATGCTGAACGAGTACAGCAAGAATGTGGGCCAGGCTGACTCTGCTGAGGCTCCCTAGGCCCCTCTTTCTCTCCTCACCTCCAGCAGACCCCAGGCATCCCTGTTAAGGCATCCCTGTTCTATAAGTTTAGGCTTTGGAATTAGCTAGATCTCAATTTGAAACACACACATACACACACACCTCACATACCAATTGTGTCATTTATTCTTTCAGGTTCCTCTTCTGAAACTGGGACTATAAAGAGGCCTACCTTCCAAAATTTCCTTGAAGATCAAATGGAGCAGTACCTGGCAATACCAAGCACTCAGTTAATGACATCTCTATTATTACATGGATGCAATTTGGGGAAAATCAGCCTCACACTGAACAACAGTGATTATGCTGTCAGGGAGGGAGAAAGTGCTCTTGGGCACTGGCTGACATGTCTACCTACATTTCCACAAAGCCCAAGCATCATAGACTGGTTATCTGACCTTGATTCTCTTCCCTACTAGAAAACTCCATGGGGGAGTAGCAAGGAAACCTACCTCTACTCTGTGCCCCTTCCACAAAAAGTAAGTCTAATCAAGGCCCCACCCAGAGCCTCCCAATCAGTATTCATGATCTGCAAACATGTCCCCATGGTCCTTCAGTACTGGGCACGGGAGAGAAAAGAAACAGCTTTGCTTCCCAGAAGTCCATAGTACACCTGGAGGAAAAGACATGCTAATCACAGCAGACATAGAGAAATGAAAGCTAAACATTGGCAGTTGTTTTCAGAATTCAAAGATCAAATGTCCCTGGGGATGTGAGGAGATGGTATTTGAACTGGATCTTAAAAAGCAGATAAGACGTGTTGTTATTGTTGTTGTTATGTGCCATTGAGTCGGACTGACTCATAGCGACTCCTTGGGTTTCTGAGGCAGTATCACTAGGAAGTATATTGCCCCATCTTCCTTCTGAGGAGTGGCTGGAGGGGTGGAATTCCAGGCTAAAGTTACAGGAACAATAGCCTAGAGGAGAAAAAGTACAGAGTTTATTTAGGGAGCAGAGTAAACTGGTGAGGCTGGAGGACTAGGATGTGAGAGGACTGAGGTGAAAGCTGGCAGCGAAGGATCAATGAGCCTCAGGTGCAGGGAACACAAAATAAAGGTCATGGGTACCATGGTAAAAATAGAGAGAGTAGGTCTGCAGTTTAAATAGGAGAGTCAAAGAAGGCCTCTTTGAGGTGACACATTTAAGAGGTAAGCAAGTCATGTGACTAACTGCGGGAAGAGTTTCCAGGCAGAGATAACAGTAATGCAAAGTACTTAAGGTGACAGGGTTCCTGCCATGTTGGTGATGCAATAAGGGGCTAGTGTGGCTTGAGCTGTGGGAAGCAGGGGGAGAGTGGTTGGAGATGAGGTCAGAATTCATTGTAAAGGGGAGCCAGCTCATGAAGGGTCTTGCTGGCCATTACAGGGGCTAATCACAGTAGACAGAAATGAGGGCTAAATACAAGTAGCTGCTTTCAAAACCCAAAGATCTGGCGTCCCTGGGGATGCGAGGGGAGGCTCCATGAAGAAGGAGGTTTTCACTTGGGTAAAATTGAGAGCCATTGTAGGATTTCAGTAACGGAGCAACGCAACGTGATCTACCACGTTTTAAAAGGATCTACTGGCTGCTGTGTGGAGAATCAACTGCAGGGGGCCAAGGGTGGAACCAGGGAGACCTGTGAAGAGGCTATTGCAAAACTCCAGGCAAAAGATGATGGTGGCTGGAACCAAGGTGGTAAGCAGTGTTGTGGTGCGCCTCAGTTTCCCCAGGTAAAAATGGAGCTTAGGACCCTCGTCCTGTGTGCAGCCCAGCCCCTCAAAAAGCTCGCATTGGGATGGAATGTCAGGAACCTCGAGCCAGTGGGGCAACAGCTCGGAGAATGTGGGATCACGGAATGCGTGGGCAGCTCCTTGAGCATTCAGGCCCCTGGTACCCACGGGAAAAACAAAACAGGTGCGCTCCCACGACGCGCGTCAGGAGGGCGAAGCCCTGCGGAAGGAGGGCTGCTCAGAGACGGCACAGGGAGGAGTGGGAAGGCAGGCGCTTCCTCTGAACACTGGAGCTGGCCCTGGGCACTGTGTGTGTCCGGTATGCGGCAGCTCCCCGTGTGCATGTGTGTGTATGTGCCGGGAGGCTATACCACCCCTTCACGGGCTTCTCACTGCAGCTCTTCCTCCTTTGTCTCGCTTGTCCCACTCCCGTATGTCTGCCTGTCCGTGTCGCTCCGGGTTTCGGTCCACACAGCCATGCTGGGGTCCCTCTGGCGGTCGCCGTAGCGGCGCAGCCTCGACCCGGGGCTTGCGCGAGAAGAAAATCATGAATGAAATGGATGCGATGCTCCAGCTCCCCCGCCCTCCCGGTCCAGGCAGTCCGGGCGCGGGGGCAGCGCCGGCGGGGCTCGGCGCGGGGTTGAGGGGTACTGAGATCAGGTCCAGGGGTCCAGGGTCTCCGATCGCTACCGACTCAGGCCTGGGGCGCTGCCGAAGCTCCCTGCCCCGCCAGCCCGCCGGCCATACGCCATTGCCCGGAGCAGAGCAAGTGGCCTGGGGGTGGGGCGGAGCCGAGGGCGCGTTGGGGGGCAGGGGGAGGGGGTTTGAGTCGGCTGGGCGGCTGCGCCCTCGACTAGCCGGCTGAAGCCCATTTTGGAGGAGCGGTAGGGCGAGGGAGCGCGCACGGAGCGCGGGACGGAGCGCCGGGCGGACGGACCGACGGACGGACGCCCCCGCACACGCAGACGCACAGAGCTCAGCGCGGCCCCCGTCACACACACACACACACACGCACACACACACACACACACACTCACGCAGACACACGCACTCGGGCGCGCACATCCTCCCGTCAGCCTGCCGCCCGCCCGCCGGCGCCTGGAGCCCGCTCTGGCCGGTAAGTGCGGCGCCTTCGTCGGCGCCTTTGTGTGAGGAGTGGACAGGCGGAGGACGTGGGGTCCCTGCTAGAGGGATCCTGCAGCTGAGAGCTCCTCTAGCCCCGGAACGGAGAAGCTCGAGCCCGCCCCCGCCACGCCCCCAAGGGGCTCCCGGCGCCCCCCGGCTGGGGGAAGGGGTCCCCCCTGCAGAGGAGGGATCCGGCACTGGATATTAGGGAGGGAATCGCAGTCACTCCCCATGATGCTAGTGCGCGGTTTCGGGGAGGGACCCAGATAGTGGTCCGGGGTCCGAACCTCTACGGCCGAGGCTGGTGCGCGGCTTTTGGCTGCATCGCTTTTCCAGGGTCTAGACAGCGCGGAAGGGATATTGGAGACCGGCCGTTAGCCTGCTGGTCTGTAAACTGCAGCCATCAGCCTTCTTGGCTTCTCAGGACCCTGTGGCAGTAGCCACCCACTTCCCACCCACATCCGAAATAAAAGCCCAGCACGTTACCCTCCCCCAACATGCCGCTTTCTCCAAGAAGAGGCCAGGATCTTGCAAAACCGTAGATTGCCGGGATCATAGCCTTGAGGGCAGTCAGTGTGGGGTTTACCTTACCAAGGATCACGTGGCCAAGAGGCTCATGGGCAGACGAGCCTTGGGAACTCATTTAACCATCTCATTTTACAGATGGGAAAACTGAGGCCCGGGGGCGCTTCACCAAGGCCACCAGAGAGTTAATAGCAGAGCCTGCATTAGAATCTACAGTCTTTCTGCCTTTATATACTCATTCCCCCAATGCAGTACACAATTCGACCCCATCCCCACTGAAGCCCCAGAACCCAAAAATCACCTTACTTATTGCAAGAAAACCTTTGTAATCCCAGCCGTGCCCCCGCTTGGAGCTGCAGATGCCATTCATTTGCTAACATCCTTACAGTTTAAAAAAAAAGAAAAAAAGATTTGCCTTTAATTTGCTTCACTCGGCGTCAAAGGAAAGCTCTCTCACTCAGACACTTCAGATTCATGGTTTGGTTTGGGGAAATGAAACAGTCCTGGAGAGTGATTGTATTCCAGGGTTTTAGTCCTAGTTCTCCCTCAGTGTCCTCAGTTAGACCAGGTGAAGTAACATCCCTATCCCCCAATTTGACCTGACTCTCTGCCTCCCAGTCACTCCTCCTTAAGGGCCCAGATCTTCTAATCCAACCAGTACATTTTTGTCCCCCAGGTTCCTTTCATTATTCCTTTATGGAGGTCCCCAAGTCCTTTATGCGAAGCCACCTCTGCTTCCTTGGTGTTTGTTGGGTACTGCCTTTTGGTATTGCTGACAAAACTTCTTGAGCTGCTTGAGTTACAGCCACACCAGGCCTGGGTGATGTGTCAGGACAAGGTCCCTCAAGGGCAGCTGGGTGTCCCTGGAGCTGAGTTGGATGCTAGACGTGAAGAGAGTGCCCCGAGAGGTTTGTTGAAGGAGTGCATGCATAGCTAGGTGATGGATGGATGGAGTCTCCTTTGAGGAGACTTCCTTGCATGGTTTAATTGGCAAGGAGGGAGATACTCAGTCTCTAGGGTCTGAGGCTATTGCCTCAAGAGTGTCCTGGCCTGGGGTGAGCAGCCTGGCAGAGAGCAGAGCCAGTGAGGCCAAGTGGTATAACTCCAGGGACCACCATTCACATTGTGGTACATGGAAATAGCATTGTGCTCCAAAAGAGGTGCCCTTTACATAGACCTTAATGAGTGGTAACCTCTGTTTTTTTTTTTTTTTTCAGTATAGAGACCTCTACCCTGAGAATGGGAGATCTGGGTCCTAACCCCAGTTCTCCCTCATTGGCTGTGCAATCTCCATAAATATCCACAGCCTCTCTAGGTCTCAGTTTCTCCACCTGAAAAATAAGAACATTGGAAGAGAGAAAATGTGGAGCAGAATTTCAAATTCTCATGGAATACAGATTTTCTGAAGCCATGGAGGCTGGATAAACCCCTGAAACTGTTGCCCTAAGATCATCTTTAAACTTTAAAACAAAAATACCCCTGCAGTCTTCTTAAAGTCAACCAGTAGTTTAGCTTAACTAGTAACCAATGTCTGCCTTGGGCATTGTATTCTTTTAAGATGTATCTTTAGGGGATCTAATTGACAACAGCAACTCCTAAGGTTAGATAGGAAACTTAAGGGGCAGTGAGCATGTTAATATGGGAGGAATAACTTGGAAAAAAAAGGGTGAGAGTGGTTTTACAACTCAATATAATCAATGTCACTAAATTGCATATGTATAAATTGTTGAACTGGTGTATATTCAGCTGTGTATATTTTTAACAACAACAATAAATTATAACAAGAGTAATAATAAGATCCTTGGATTGGAAGATTTTCAGTATCCCTTTCCACTCTGAACTGTTGTGAAGGGGAGGAGGGTGTACTTATTTATATAACTACTATGAGCCTGGTTTTCCTGATATTACTCAGTGAAGGAATAATTCCTGAGTCAAAAAATTGTAAAGATGAGATAATGTATGCAGAGTGCTTTTAACAGTGCCTGGGGCGTAGAAAAAGCTCAGAAATTCATAGCTGTTAATACTGTTAGGGCCCAAACCTTATGGATCTACCCTCCATTTCTTCCTTTCTTTAGCTCATCCAAAGACATGATATTTTAGGGCCTTCAAGCCTCCCACCTCAAGAAATCCCTTTCCTACTGACCTTCCTGGACTTAGGGCCCAGCCATCATAAGACATCCATGAAAACTCCTTGGGAAGAATAGCACTTTAGTTTATCATTTATTTGTACATTAGTGTGATTGAATTTTAAAATTAATCTTTATATGGAGTCAAAGCTTTTCTCATACTTTATCATTTATACTTAATCCTCGTAACACACCCATGATGTCAATAGTATTACCATTACCATTTTACAGATAGCAAAGTTAAGACTCAGAGTTTAATTTATCTAAGGGTACACAGCTTAAAAGTGTCAGAGCTAGAGAGTTGGACCACCAGCTTAAAATTCTGAGCTCTTTCCTCTGCATCATATAGCCTTCCTCTCTTGAGATTTTCCCTAAAACAGGGATAGAGAAGCCTTAGAAAGCATTAAGAAGGAGGGATTTTTTTTTTAAATTGTGCTTTGAGTGCAAATTTACAGAGCAGAATTTGTTTTACATGCAACAGTTCATGTACATTTGGTTTCACTCCCCAATTACCATCCCCAACCCTAATCCACTCTCCCCCTCTCCCTTCCGTGTGACCCCCCCCATCCCTGTGCCCTTCTTGGTTATGCACTCCTGTCTGTCCAGCTTTCCCTCCATGTGAATGCTGCCCTTATGGTGCTCTGTGGCCAATTGCTCCAAGTAGTGTATCTGAGGAGGAGGGATTTTATCCTTCTGAAAGGTGGAAATGATGTACTTGGAAAAGCTACATACCACTTGAGCTGGACTTGAATGATTTGTATATTAGAATGAAGGCGACAAGATCAGTAGTAGAAACAGCATGAATGGAGAACAGGCAGTGAGGACTTCCAGGGCATGTACAGAAACTGGCAAATGGTTCACTTTACTGGCACAAAAAAGAAAAAAGAGGAGCCATGCAAAGTAAAGCTGAGTAGGAGGAAGGAGAAAGTTGTTGGAGGCATTGAGTGCCAAACTGAAGAGTTGGTCTTTAGTTTTGAATGGGGGAGAGACATGATCAAAGCGGGCCATTAGGACACTCACTCTGGCTCCCCCTGGAGAACAGATTGGAGGGGGAGAGCCTGCTGGCAGGGTGCCCAGATAGAAAATGATGACAATGGTCTAGGTAAGAGGTAGTGAGGGTCTGGCCTGGGGGTAGTTCTAAGAATGGAGAGAAAAAGGCATCCATGTAAGAGGCCACAGCTGTCAGCAAGATTGGTAGCTGATTAGATCTGGGGCTAGAGGGAAGGAGTACCTAGAAGTAATGGCAGAGTTTTGAGCCTGAGTGGCTGAGGATGCCATTCACAAAAAGAGCCCAGCAGTAGAGGAGGAGATGAGACTTAGGAGTGAGACCATGGACCTGAGGCGTCAGAATAACTGCTCTTGCAAGGCTGGCTTACTGAGCACTCTCAGCTATCAAGAGCCAGTTTTTTGTTCATTCATTGATTTATTCCCCAAATCTGTATTAATAAAACCAGTTGCCTTCAGGTCAGTTTTGGCTCGTGGTGATCCATGTGCTACGTAGTAGAACTGCCCTCCATACAGTTTTCAGATGCAGATTGCCAGACCTTTGTTCTAAGGTGCATCTAGTGGTTCAGACCACCAGTCTTTCAGTTAGTAGCCCAGCACCTAACTGTTTGTGTCACCCATGGGCTCCACAAATATACATGCTGTTATGTGCCATGTTGTTCTAGACTCTGGGGATACATTGCTGAAAAAGATGAACTTCTTGCCCAAGCTTTACCTGAGGAGACAGAAATAAAGCATAAGCAAAGATATGTTTCAGGGGATGCACAAAGCTCTGGAGAGAAATAAAGAAGAGTAAGAGTGTGTATGTGGGGGGAGATTTGCTTTTAAATAAAATTGTTCCTGAGGAAATGATATTTGAGCAAAGACCTGAATGAAGTGAGGGAGTGATGCATGAAAAGACCTGGGCAGACATTCTGGGAAGAGGAAACTACATGTGCCAAAGCCCTGGCATAAGAATATCATAGTATTTTCAAGGAACAGCAAGTGTGACTGGAAGAGATAGGAAAAGGGGAAGAGTGTAAGGAAAAAAGGAGAGAGGAGCACGGCCAGATCATGTGGGTGCTTGTAGGTCTGAAAAACAACAGCAACACCCCATTGCCATCAAGTCAGGTCTCACTCAGTAAATATTTATGGAAGCACAGTGCTACATCTTTCTCCTGCTGAGTGGCTAGGGGCTCAAACAACCAACCTTTCGGTTAGCAGCCAAGGGCTTTAACCAGTGCACCACCAGGGAGGCTCTTTTTATAGATCTGAGGAATAAGAAATTGAACAGTGTTGTTGAGTTTGACAATCCCAACCTGACATCAAGTGCTCGGTAAGTAGTTGTAGAATGAAT